ATTTTAATTTTATCTAGGTATTTATTTGTATCCGGATCATCAGGGATTATATCATCGAGCAAAAAGACAAAAGAGGGAATCTAATCCTTATAAAAAGGAGACCAAAAAAGTGGCCTCTGATGGCGGACATATCCGGAAATGCGAATGCGCCAAATTTAAATTTTCCGACACTTATTAACAGTAGCTATATAATATTTTTCAGAATGTGTCTTAGACGAGAAAGTTTTAATTAATTATTAACGATAATAGTAAAATGCGACACAATTGAAACTTCAATATTGAGAAACTTCAATATAAATAAGATTTCATGTGACATTTGGGACAAACAATAACATAACCCAACTAAATTTGATGTCAAAAAGGAGAGAGAGACTCTCTTTCCTTGTTTAATGTGGCCTCTATCGCCACTTCCTGTCTAACAATATTTTGCCCCCACTACCTTTACATTCCCTCTTTTGTCTTTTTGCTCGATGGATTATATATAGGGCGAATATTATATCGATCGAATATATAGGGCGACATCAGCCACAATAAGAACAAATCTTGGAGATAAACCGACGGAAGCGATCCAGATTCTGCGAGGCGTTAGACAAGGATGAATACTTTCACCTATACTATTCAACCTATATTCAGAGGAAATATTTAGTGAAGTCTTGGAAAATTGCGAACATAGTGTCCTTTTAAATAGAGAACGCCTAAACAACATCCGCTATGCAGATGACATCGTTATTTTTTAAACAGGTTACAGCAACTAATAAACAAAGTTAATGAAGTAAGTGAAAGATTTATACTACAAGTAAACATCAAAAACTAAATTTATAGTAATCAGCAAAAATCAAATTAGAGACGTCCGACTGCTTATTAAGAATACACCAGTGGACCATGTAAAACAGCTTACCTATCTTGGAACGAACAATGGGATCACTCACAAGAAGTAAAATGTAGAATGGAGAAGGCTAGGAATGCATTCAACAACATGGCCAAACTCTTTAAAAGCCACAACCTTAATCTGGAGATAAAAGTAAGGCTCCTACGATGTTATATCTTCTAGATATTATACAACGGAGTTGAATCCTGTACACTCTCTGAACCGATCGACAAAAAAACTTGAAGCCTTCGAGATGTGGCTATATAGAGGAATCCTAAGGATATCATGGACAGACAAGATAACCAACGAGACTGTACTACGAAGAATGGCGAAAGAAAGAGAGGTGGTGTATCAGTGGCGGCTTTTCTTTATGTGCTGCTGAGCTGCAGAACTACCAAACAACCATAGCAAATCTTAATTATTAAAGAATAATTAATATAGTTTTATTTCAAATCTGCCATATTATCATATTAAACATAAACTGTTAATAATAATTCACCAACAACGATGATTAATATTATTTTTTTTACGTATTTACTACTCTAGTGAAACCGTATAATTTTTTTACGTATTTGGTGCTCCAGTGAAGCAATCTTTTTACGTATTTGCTGCTCCAGTGAAGCCGCGTCGATAACAACCGAAACACTGGCAGCGGTAAAATGCATTTATTAGGCAAACGGCGATCTTAGCCGATGTGCTTCGGCAATCGGCTGATTAACGGCCTCGGAAATGTGTTTGCGAGCTGCAATTCACGACAGTTATTCGTGACCGTTGCATCTGTGCCGTGTTTAGAAATTCTTAGGTTACAATTTTGTTTAATTTGTTTTGTTCGAGCGTGTTTAAAACAATGGAGTTTCAATTTAAATTAGGTGTAAATAAATTTCAAAAACTTCACTATCAACAACAGTTGATTATAAAAGAACGTGGCCGTCCTATGCCTGATCTTAATATTGAAGTGTCCGGTAAAAGCCGTGGAAAAACATATACGCGTAAATTTAATAAAGACATGTATCTACGAAATCAGTGGATTTGTGGATGTTCCGAAAAAAATGCTTTTTTCTGTTTTCCGTGTGCATTATTCGGCGCAGATAAAGAGGAAAAATTGTGGCGCGAGACAGGAGTGCGGGATCTAGTGCATTTAAGTGAAAAAATAAAGAAGCATGAAAACACGTATGACAAACTCATATGAACAATGAAATGCGATTTGCATTATTTGGGAAACTTAATATACAGGCCCAACTTGACTCTGCTTATTGGATAAATATACAAAAACACAATGAAGAGGTGACGAAAAACAGGTATGTTTTGTCAAAAATAATTGACTGTATAAAATTCTGTGGGGCTTTTGAGCTCGCCTTACGAGGACACGATGAATCTGAAACATCAGATAACCCTGGAATTTTTCGTGGTTTAGTGAATTTTTCTGCTGAACTTGATAAAACACTTAGTGAACACCTTACAAATGCGACAATTTTCAAAGGTACCTCAAAAACAATACAAAATGATATTTTGGATTGCATGCTAGAAGTATACGCTGAGGAGATTTTAAACGAAATCAATGAAGCCCCATTTTTAGCAGTGATAGCTGATGAGACAACGGATGTTTCTATGAAATTTCAAATGGTCATTGTTTTTCGTTATGTAAAAAACGGTGCTCCAGTTGAAAGGTTTTGGACTTTTTTGCTTCCAGAAAAACATGATGCTGAAACCTTAGCTAACACAATTTTGAATGTTTTAGACCCAATATTAAAGAATAACAAAAATAAGCTCATTGCACAAAGTTATGACGGAGCAGCTGTTATGAGTGGGATACATGGCGGAGTGCAAACAATAATTAAGAGAAAATATGAAACTGCTCATTTTGTGCACTGTTACGCCCATCAATTGAATCTAATAATGTCAAGAGCATGTTCTATTAATTCCCAAGTACGCGTATTTTTTGGAGATTTACATGATATACCTGGATTTTTTAGTCATTCACCTCAAAGAATAGCTGTCTTAAATCAAATAGTTGGAAAAAATATTCCTCGTTCAATCCCTACACGCTGGAATTTCAATATTCGTACAGTAAATGTCGTTTACGAATATAGAGACTTTATTATTGAGTGTATGGAGCAACTAGAAGAAGAGTCAAATGCTATTACTTCCAAGGAAGCAAGAGGACTTAGACGTATTCTGGAAGATCAAAATTTTACTTTCTGGCTGACTGTTTTTCATTATATTATGCCACATGTTGACGTTTTGTACAATAATCTTCAAAAAAAGAACATGGACCCAACCGAAGCACAGAAAGCTATACATGTTTTTGAGCAAAGTATTAACAATGTCCGAAATAAAATAGACCCTATCATACATCAAGCTTCAAATTTAAATGCGGCGCCTAGTGTCCAAAAAAGGAAACGCCCAAATAACAGCCAACAGGATCACCGTATTGCCTGTCTAGAAGTTTGTGATGTTATTATAAACAATGCAAAAGAACGGTTTGCATATACAAATCATCTAGTTGCCGCAACACTTTTATCTTCAGAACATTTCGAAAAATATAATAATAAGTTTCCTGAAAATGAATTGGATTTAACTTGTACAGCTTATAACTTCTTTGATAAAAACCGTTTGCGAACAGAACTGTCAGTTTTGTATTCCAATATCGAGTGTAGAACATTAAAAGGTGCAGTGCCTTTACTAAAATTTATAATTTCTAATAATTTAGAGGACACATTAACAGAAACCAAAAAGTTGATACAAATTCTGGTGACTACGCCAATGACCACAGCAGAAGCTGAACGTAGTTTTTCAACTTTAAAACGGATCAAAACATTTTAAGAAATTCAATGTGCGAAGACAGATTAACAGCCCTTTCCACACTCTCGATAGAAAAAAAGTTCATCGCTTCAATACCGAACTTTAACGATAAAGTAATCGAAAAGTTTGCGACAAAAAAGGACCGGCGTATTAATTTCCAATTTAGAAAAATGCAATAAATGTAAGTTAATCAGATTTTTATAGCATGTCGTTATTAGTTACTATTAATTAGTATTAAAGCTAATTTTATTGTTTTTGTTTTCGTATGTTATTCTATTTCTATTATTTTATATTGACCGTGGTTCATGCAGCACACCCTATAGCAGATGTCACGAGCCGCCACTGTGGTGTATACCATTAAAAGGAAAAAGTTAGAATATCTAGGACATATAATAAGAAATGGCACTAAATACAGATTACTGAAAATAATCCTTCAAGGCAAAGGATTCGAAAAGTAAGGAATTGGGAGAAGAAGAATATCATGGTTAAAAAACCTGAGGAAATGGTTCTCCACAACAACAACTAATCTATTTAAACCATCAGTTAATAAAATAATTATAGCCAGAATGATTGCAAATATTCGAAACGAATAGGCACCAAAAGAAGACGATCGATATGTAATTGAACATATTGCACAACAACAACATAATTTGAAAATTCTCCTCCTGCGCTATCACTGAAAGCTCAACCACATACAGAACGAAGTAAAAAGATATATTGCCGCACACAAGAAAACTTTTAAAGAAGAAGAAGTTAGGAATTTAATTACGGAAGCGTACTCACAAGTTACCCAAGAAAAATGGAAAAATTATATAAAACACGTAACAGGAGAAGAAACAGACATGTGGAGATACGAAATAATTATTAATTGTTTGATGGCCGCTGAGAAAAAGTAGCAAATGAAAGTATTAGGCAGGTACTTGTAGAGGATTACCACTGTTAACTACTGTTGAATACAAAAGGAGCATTCATTTATCATATAAAAAAATAAAGAAAAAAAAATAGTTTAAATAAAAATAGATAAAGATAGACATAAAGATTTATAGTTCACAGAATAGGTAAAATATGACAAACCCGCTTGCAATTTAAAACCACACTGAATCTAAAGTTTGCAACGCAGTATAGATACCTAGTGTTTTCTTTGTCCTAGGGGTCTACTATTACCGTACAAATTTTAAGACTGTGCGATTCTTTTTATCATCTTTCATCAGTTTCATCAGCAGTAATAATTCGGAACAACACTCATATTCAAATATTAGTACACGCTAACCACGTTAACATTAAGTATGACCAAAAGTTCAAGTACTAATATAACAAAGTATTTTAAATACTAAAACTTACCCTTGATGGTGGTATTTGTTAAAACTCGATCATTAAAGCTCATGGAAATTGCAAGTTGATCTCCTTGCAAGTACTGAAGTACAGCACATCCTGGACCTTTAAGATTAAGCAATTTGAGATTAAAATCTCTGCAACAGTTACACATTTGTTTGGCACAAGTACAAAATCTGTTTGGTGGACTTTGTTGTGCCGGCGGTTGAGGCTGAGCTACAGTTTGAGTTACATTTTGGTTTTGTCTAGGTCGAGTAACTTTTGTTCGATAGCTTACCACTTTCTTTTTTGATTTTATGGATTTATTATCTAAAAGTATAATAATTCTTTAATAACTGTAATATATATATATATATATATATATATATATATATATATATATATATATATATATATAATCAGATTACTAAAAGAAACAAAGTAAGAAGAGAAGAATCACAAGAAAGTAAAGATTGAAAAAAAAAACAATCGAAAAATTCTTAATTATAAATAAGAATGTTGGTACACAATGTTACGAGTGAAAAAAAAAATAGAATAGAAGAATAGGAAATAAAAGATATATATAAAATTAGAATAACAAAATGAGTGCAGTGAAGATGCATAACCTAAGAGTGTTTGAGTGTTATAAAAGTTTCAAAGAAGAAATATTAGTTTAAAGACAAAATAAATAAAAACACTATTTACCTACTGCTGCAGATGCAGCAAATGCTACCAATATAAATATCAGCAACAGTTCGAATATAAACGATAACTTCATCGTTTAATTTTTGAATGAAATACCTATAAAAAAAAGATTTGTTGCATAAGAACTAATACACTTTTCTATTAGTCAAATCGTAAATTCGTTTTGATTTCAGATATTCAATAAAAACAACAGAGCTGGTTTTTTTTAAGAATAAGTATAAGTTATTTTAAAAAAGACTTTAAAATACCAAATGTTTACGAGTGGTACCGAAGATTACAAATTTTATTATAAAATAATCGTCGATTATACGTCAGGATTGTCAAGGATTTTGGGTCAGAGAAAGCGAGACAGTGTCGGTAAGAAAGTCACTCTTATGAGAAGAACGTGAATAACGTATTATGTAGATATTATTGGATGTTGTAAATTAACTAATAGTTAAATTTGAGATAAATAGTCAGTAATTTAACATAAAAATATCAGCCTGCTGATTTTCACTCAGCTCAGTTCTGCCTTCACTTTGGTTTACTTTTGTAACTGTTAGACATTTTAGAGTTTATACGGAAAATAAATGACGGATTATTCGCTTCCATCTAGTTTTGTCTATTGCATATATTTTTTTCTAATTCATGATATAACGTAAGATCTTTCTGCATATCCTATAAATTAATAAAACCAAACATGACTTAATTTGGTCTTAATATTGTTCTGAAGCTATTTTCTTGTGGCATTGTAAATTAATTACTATTAAACTGGGAATAAGCCACAATTAAAGATAAAAATACGTTTATTGACGTTTCAATTTCCACTTCGGAAATCGTTCTCAAAATACAAACAGTAAATTGATTTAAATTTAAATTTTGAGAACGATTTCCGTAGTGGAAATTGAAACGTCAATAAACGTATTTTTATCTTTAATTGTGGCTTATTCCCAGTCTAATAGTAATTAATTTGGTCTTTTCGGTTTTAATTTATTTAGATAACCATGGAGGCCTTTATTTCTAACAAATATATTTCTACCAAAAAACAAACAGGTGTAAGTAACATGAAGGTAGAGCTAATAATAGAACAATTAGAAGAGATAGGTAATGGGGGAGATTGCAAAAATCTCCAGGACCCAGAGCAATCAAAAGTCTTTCAAAAACCGTTTGTTATACAGTTTGAAAGAAAATGGCCATTTTTTAAAACGAAAGTTTACTGAGTTTCTTCCTTTGCAGTCGCAGGAAGATGAAGCTTATTTTAAAAAACGAATGTGTGGTCTAATGAAGACAAAGGAGATCTTATAATATATCTTATGGAAAATGTAATGTCACTCAAATGCAATAAAATTTACATAGATTCGTCTCGAAATTATATCATTTGAAATTTCATATCATTTCGCCAACTCTGAATTTTGATTAATAAAAGCGTAAATTATAGTTAAAGTTTATGGAAATCACATTTTTTTGAAGTCTATAAAACTGTTATTCGTCAATACTATTAGTCTAGTCGCTATTAAAAACAGCTTAACCCAGCGTAAGCTAACCCGATTAGAGGAACTATGTACTTTGACAAGCAACAAGCAATTTAATTAAACCCAACCTGTGAGACATGTTCACCCATAAGAATTACGTTCGGGTGTAACAATTCATTGGAGCAAGGTGTATTAACTCGAGTAAAAACAGGAGCCACTCCACCGCCACTCCAATGCTCCAGACCATCCCTTTCCCCCCTATAGCACTCTGATGGGTGATAGGGGCACAACTATCAGCCAAATGCTTCTTAATGTGGGAGTCCTGGGTAATAGAACTCCAGCGTGGTTTGCTAACCGAAATCAAACTCAGGGCATCGCATTGTTGTTATGATCCTGTTATCTTAATATGGCTTTGTGCATTTTGGTAATGATACTTTGCCGTAATACCTGCAACAAGATTTATGAATTGACGATTAACAAAATCTCTCTAATCCCAATTCAGGTACATATATCCATTTGATTTTAGATTTATTTATATCAACTTACGGCGTTATTGATTAAAATTCAGAGTTGTCGCAATGATATGAAATTATTGTAATTTCGAGACGAATCTATCCATGTAAATTTTAATGCATTTGAGTGAAATTACACTATACATAAGACGTGTGCGATCTTCTTAAAAAAACTCGTGTTACTGCACAAATGCGACATCAAGATTTCTGGTTCTTTAACGTATACTATGCAATTAAAGAAATCTCATTTTAGGTGTTTTAATTAATTATGAATCTTTAAATGTATTTGACATTCTGAACGAGGAATTCGAAAGATCTGCTGATATCAGCACAATGAGCTGCCGGCCAGTGATGTATGCCGTTTCATAAAAACAGTTGTTCAGTAAATTAGATTTCTCGTTACGGTACCTATAGATGGCCACCTCGCTTCCTCGACTTAACGTCCCTCGATCTGTTAAATGTGGACTTATAAAAACAGTGTATGCTACAGTTCCACTACAAAAGAATATATGATAAACATTGCTGCTTGTCAGTTGTTTCGAATTCGAACAACAATTGGGTATTTACTATAATAGTTTTTATCTTAAGATAAAATGGGCGTAAACATAATTTATCTTGACATAAATAAGCAAACAATAATACGAATAATACGAGTGACAGCGATACAAGTTGGACAGTTAGCAAATGCGTATTTTTTTCTATGGTAACTTATTTCTGAGTTCGATAATAAGTAAGTGTACAACTACATTGGAACCGTATTTCTCCCGATCCGATATCTGGCGACGTCGGCCGACGTCGCCCGATATCGGATCGGGAGAAATACGGTTCCAATGTAGGTGTACACTAAAGTGTATTTTTTGTGGGTAAAAACTTTGATCATATTGTGTTTGTAAATAGATAAGTTATCAATATAATGTTTGAAATTCTGCGTCTGTCAAAATATTAAAAAAATGAATAACTCAAGAAATATAAGGTTTTAGTATGTGATACCTTTTACAAAATTCAGAATTTCACGCAAAATCTATAAATATAATAATATTTTGAGTATTCTAGAAATAAAAACCGTGCTGGTCTGAGACCGTGCGTGAATTCGAGCTTACGAATGCACCACACAAGACAGACAATCTGATACAGACACTAACTCATTGCACGGTTAAATTTGTTCTATTGTACTCCCTAATTCCAAGTTATAACACCATTGCACCCATGAGATGCATGACCCAACGGGAAAAGTTGGTGAATAAGTTGAGAATGCTGAACGAACTCTGGGGGATTATAGCCTTGGCCCTCGCACTATCGTGTCTGACAGCGTTTCATCACGATTCGAGGGAATAAAATGGATAGGAAACAAGAAGATATGGTCCAGAATAATAAAAGATAAAGGTGTTGCGGGAAAGCGTAAGGACTATCCCGGTGACGGACTCTGTCCCAAATAGGTTCAATGACCCCAATCGGATTAGATGTCATCTTGATACGAAAGCCAAGAGTACACTAGGGCCAAAAAAAGCAGTTGATAGCAACTTCCGGTTTAACCGGAAGTAAGAGAAAGCTATAAATATTTTAGATGTGTAGATCAGCCACAGTTCCGCGAAAGAGCAAATTTTGTGTTGAACGACGTGGTAACTTAACCGGTAGAAAATTTACTTAACAGAGTACCTTGGATAAAACCAGGAGTCTAATAGACGGTCGCACATACCCTGTTATACTTTTCGTTGTACATAGTAGGAACAACAGATTACTCTGTTGTGAAGCTGCATCGGAGTTATTAAAGGAAGATTTATTATGAAAAATATATCAGATTAAAATACGACAAAAATATCAGACATAACCGTAACAATTCAAGACGTTAAACAATTACTTTATAATTATATAAAAAGAGATAAATTATTTTATTAAAAAAAATACGTAACACAAAAATAAATAGACAAAATTTTTCTCGAAGGAATTCATTAGCGCCACTTACAGTTATTCCGCTGTGAAGTAATACAAATAGCAAATAAAAATATAAAGTGTTAGCTTGTAAAACAACGTATTTTAAATGGTTTACTTACTAAAAAACTAAGAACTCCACTCAGTTTATTCCAGTGAAATCACACTTCTTAGTAAAACTACACCACAAGACTGTTCAATAACCGTGAAAATATTGAAGAGTTCTTGAAGATAGGAGGGGAACCAAATGTCGGTCATTAGGTAGGCTATTCGTATACACGTCCTTCCGTTATATGTGCTGTTTTAATTCATAACACAGCTACCTCACGAAACGCCTAAAGTGGAGCAAAAGTTGGACAACTGACTTTTTTTAAATATATTTACTTTCCCCTGGAAACTTATAAATATGCTGAATATATCTGTGCCTTTCAAAAAAATATTTATTTATTTTCATATACTGACATAGAGGTCAATAAGTTGGGTGAATCCAAATTACTACCCCCTAATTCTACTAAGAGAGACAGAAAAATGAAAGAAGGCACTTATTTCTATTTGGCCACAGAAGAAAAAAACGATAGAAAACAATTCTAAAAAAACGATACTAACGGTCACAATTATGAGTAGTTAATAGACAAAGGGAAGAAATCGGAATATTATATATATATATATATATATATATATATATATATATATATATATATATATATATTATATATATATATATATATATATATATTATAAATTTTATATATATATATATATATATATATATATATATATATATATATATAATATATCCAACATAAAAGATATAAAATATATTCAACAGGTGAATTGCGGAGGTTTGATCGGTCAATTATTGGTAAATGAAAGACGTCAACTACTTCATTAGTTTACTAGAATACATTACGCTTGTATTGTTATTTAAAAGCATCCTCAGTTCGCTACAAAAAGTAATGATGTAAGGTTATAGGTAAAAAACGAACAAACGAATAGAGTTCATACTTACAAAACAGTTTGTAGGTTTTTTGTGATGTTCTAAAAACTCTACGATTACTTAACATTAAAACTAAACAAACCATTCGAGACAAAAAAAAACACAAGAAAACTAGTGCTCTCATTCAGTTTTTCTTTATTTATTCATTATATTATATGTATCTATCTGTGTCTTTGCTACTTAA